TTATGTTCCTTGCCTATGTCCAAATTGAAAGCCTTTCTTGATTTCTTAATGAACATGACTATATAATTTGTCATCATAGAAATAAAACATCTATGTTTATTTTTAAGTTTCCTCTGTCAAAAAATGCAAGTACCCTCCCATATTCCTGAAAAGCTACTGTCAAATACATGGATTTTTGTAAAAAAAATGCTAATTATAATCTAGAGATCCCTAGAACAAAGAAACTATAAATTAGTTTAATTCATTTTCAACAATAATAGAAGGATAGTTATTTAGTCATTCCTACACAAAAAGATTCGTAAATTCACATAGAGTAATATGCAAAACCTGGTCAGAAAAATATCCCTAAATTATTAACTGTTTCCTAAAGAAAAAAGAAGCATCTAAATGTGAAGCTAGATAATGCAGTAATTCATTAATCTGTTTTCAAAACATTGAAGGATACATTTCAAATAAAAATTATTTACAAAATGTAAATGATTAGTAGTTTAGAAAATTTAGAATTAAGATTATTTATGGCAAGCATTATTATTTCAATGTTAAATAGACCCAAACAGATTTTTTTCTATTTCATTTTAATATTCATCTGAATCAATCATTTCAATATACTAGAAAACTAAAATATGCAAGATATGTATCTAAGCAGTGATTCATAGAAACGCATTTCTCTGTCCTCCCAGTTATTAATCCAATGAGATCCATCGGTTCTATCATATTTTGCTCGACTAGAGCTTTCATTCTCCATTGCATTTAGAAATGAAAGCTTTACTGCTGATTATGTTCTCTGATCATCATACACTAAAATCCCATATTTTCTACTAACTGAAGTTTCTAATCAGGAGAGAGAGATAAAAAGGTCTGCTCCACTGGTGTCCGTCGTATGCTCAGTCACAGTCTTTCTCATCTGACATGCTGTTGTGCATGTGAAACAACCTCCAACTCAATTACAATTTAGGACATGATTATTTCTGTGTTCTGTTTTATCATTCCTCCTTTCCTGCACGCTATTGTCGGTAGCCATAGATATAAATAGATAAATAAAGCTATAAAGAGACTCACTTATGAGAAAAAATATCTACCATGTATAAAAATGGTAAATGTGTCAAAACCTTCCTACTTAATGTGATGAATTGAAAAAGACTTTAAAGTTATCTTTCTTGCCTATTTTCAGTTTGGAAAACGGACCTCACGCTCTTCACTATATTCTATACTGACAAAGAAAAACTACATTTATGCTTTAATATTGGGTTTTCCCTACCAAAAATACCATTTCGTTGATT